CTTTCCCTGAAGCAGGAACAGTCTGCTTTGGGTGGGGTGGGGATGGCTGGGGAACTGAGAGCTTCCTCCTTGAACATGCAGTGAGGCTGCAGCTCTAGCCTTGAGAGTGGCCTACTGAAACTGCTAATAAGACTATGAGATGCTTTCTATTTTTATTCTGTGCCCTACTAGAATTGCCCAGGTAGTGATGCATAGATAAGGGAAAGCCTTTTCTTTGGCAGCCTTTCATGTGAGGGCCCAGTTCTGAGAGTGACCTGTAGGTGGAGAAATTGAATACCTGCACTGGTTCTTGGAAGTCTTCCTCTCTGCACTCAAGCCTCTACTCCGGCCAGCATTTCCTCAAGTCTGTCTTAATTCCTGTGCAACTTCAAGCACGAGTCAGATGTGGAGAAACAATCTAGCTGTTGGGTTGGTGCTTCAGCAGGTCACACAGCATTGAACACTCAGTGCTCAGAAAAACAAAATATGTAGTTCCTGTCTGTGTACCCAGGTTCAAGAGGGGGAAACCTGTACACACCAGCTTTTCATTTGTTTTGACTTCTGTTTCATAAGAACAGTTATTTTTTTCCTTACTTGAAGAGTCTGGCATATTTAAGTGACCATAGCTAGAGTTGTGAAACCTCTAAAGCAAAATAAAGGTACATTTTCTTAACACCTTCCTTGAAGCATAACCTCAGCTGTCCTCCTTGATAAACCTGTAGTTTGAATGGATTGACCATGTGTGAGAATTACAACTGTCCTCTTGCTCCTGACAGTTGTGTGCAGTTGCTTCGTAGAGTATAACCCCAGCAGTATAGACTGTACCTGGTTACACCGAACTAACTCTGTCTTGGGTATGTACATCTGTCAGTCCTTGGGGCTTATGTATGTTAGTACAGTGAAGAAGCTGGGCTGCTCTTCAGTGAAACAGCTACAGCAGGTATGTCTCAGTGGTCATAATTCACACAAAGCTAACATTCAGGATGTTGTGCTGGGCCAGGAATATGAAATGCATGGGAATGCAGTTCTAATTAATTGCTGGCTTTTTTTGGAGCATTTGCATTAAGTTACTTCATTTATTACAATGTAAACTCTATTCTTCCTGAACTCTTGGTGAAGTCCAGTCTTTCTTCTCAACCTGTTTAAAGAGAGACAGACTCAATGTAATTCTTGCTGCATACTTTCTACTACTTGCTACTTAAATACACTTTAATTTGAAGATATTTTGCCACACTGGATATTAACACTATGCTTTCAGGGTTCAAGGTGTGTATGAATGTGGGATTAAAAACTTGGTGACTTTAGACTAAAAACAGAGCAAGACAAGTACTACTAATTGCAAAGTGTAATAAGCAGAGGAAGGCATTGGGTCTGTTAGGTATGACAAGTAGTTTAACCACTGGTCTTAAACCTTGCTTTATTTTGACAAGGGTTAAATTAAGCTTTTAGTAGTAAAATCCAAACACTAGCATCTCCTCTGCCAGACCCATGCAAGCTTACTTCTTCATGACCCTGATGTAATGGTGAGCTATCCTGCAGTACCACAGCTTTCTGCAAGAACATTTATACCTGTGTGCTTATCACCAGCTGGCAAGTCTTTCTTTGCAGACATCACATCATCCAGAGGGATGGCAACTGAGAAAACATCAGGTGTGCATGGCTTAGCCACAGTTTCCTCTGTGGAATTGGAACTGGGGCTTGCCATAGATGTTTTCTCATCAGCTGGCCTGGCGACTGGGACTGGGACTGCAGTGAATCTCCTCCTAGCACCTACATCTTGCTGTGCAAAGACAGCATGGCTAGGAACAGGTTTCCAGTCCCGTATGTTCTGAACATTAGAGCCCACTAAAATGAAAGGTGGAGCATCTCTCCTCTTGCTTTCTTCTTGTAGCACATAAATTGGAGCAGATACTTGTGACAGCTGACCACACTGTTCATCTTTCCCCTTGGAAAGACTGAGGGTTGCCTCGGAATAAGGAATGCCAACAGGAGAGAGGGAGGGTGGTGATTTTTGACCTCGTCTCAAGTCAGTTAGGCAATAGAGGGTCCACACATTAGAATGTGGTGGTAGCTGTCCTGCTTCACTTGATGCCATGGCTACAAATACAAAAATAAGAGTGCTGGTATCAGAAGCAGTGAATTCCAGTCATACCGTAAATCCTTACGTCTAAAACAAACATACCTACAGTTGGCAAAAGCAAGCATGTTAAGAGAGGAGAGATGGGATATCAAACACTGTGTAGTATGTGGCCAATAAACACCTGCAGCCCAGAAAAAGTAAAACACTTCATGGTCAGCACAGAGGCTCTTTTGGGTAAGCATTTGTCTGGTATTTCTGAAACTGAAGTTTGTGAAACTCCCCTAAAAGTTTTTAATGACCACTGGTGAAGCTGTAAGAGCTGCAAGCTGGAACAGGAAGATGATGCAAAGACCCAAACTTTCTTACCTGACAAGACAACTTGCTCAGCTGATTCCACTTGGGCTGTAGATTCCATTCTCTCAGGATGGCACACTACATCATCATCAGAGGGACCTAACACTGTAGCACTTGAGCCCTGACCTGCATTTAATGGCTGCTCAATCTTTAACAGATAAGCTGTTTGGTCTACAAAGGGAATGATTATTTTCTGTGGAAACTGCTCTACATAAGGTAGAACCTCTACATCCACAATCAGTTCATCATCCCAACACAGTGAATCAACCTCAGTGGTTGAGGTGACCTCAGCTTCGTTGCAGGAAGGCACAGCCTGCAATGGATCTTTAGGAGCAGGTGATGGCAGTAGTTCTTCCCACAAGGGGACAGAAGAAGGATTTACATCATTTGTTGAGACATGAGCCTGGCTGACTGAGGGACCTAGTTCTCCAGCCATGGAGGACTGACTCCACTCTCGTGGTTGTGACCTACGAGCATCTACAGAAGCCTCATCTGCTGGGACAGCAGAAACATCTTCAGCAGCAACTTCTACTGGTGTAAATTCATTCTCTGAGGTCTGAGAGTCTTCATAAAGAGTCTGCACACTAGTCGCCACATCCCTCACAGAATAAAGAGAATCACTGTTACCTAGCACATGGGCAGCAAGCTGTGCAGGCTCAGCAGGGACGTACACCAGTTCAGGTCCCTCAGGGGATGAAGCTCCATCAGATCCAGGGGGGAATTCGCTTTCCGCAATGGAACTGGCAATTGATGGATGTTGGATTATTTTGGAGCTATACTGAATATCAGGTTCTTCAAGGAACTGGTCTTCCTCTGTGTCAGTACACTTGTCCCTTTGCTTGGGCTCCCCAGAAAACAAAGAATCTGTGTACTCTGATGTCTTCTCTTCCAGTCCCTCATTTCCACTTCCTGCAAGGTAAAAAACACATAATGGTAATACATGAGCAACTGTTTCCATTTAAATAAAATTAAGAGTGATTTCAGCATCAACTCAATTAGATGCTCTACAGCACATTTATGAGGCTTCCCAGGCTGCAGAGATGAAATAATTCAAGGAGGGGGTTTGCTGCTTGCCTATCAATAAGGGGGAAAAAAAAATTTCAGAAAGCAGCGGTACCACTTCAAAACCTAGGAAGCCTTAGCTGCATTCATGATCCTGCAGTGACGGTTACATTCTTAGCTACTGCCCACAAACATGGCTACACTTACAGGTTGAAAGATTAAACCTTTCACATGAAGCACATCAGATAAGCCAGCTAAAAGACGATGGCTCCTCTTTGCAACACCTCAGAACTCTTTGGATCCATACAAGTTATTTTAGATGCATAGAGAGTGACATCCTGGCTTGCTCAAGAATCTTGATTCGTTGAACTGACAGGCATCCAAATGAAGAACAGAGTAAGCCATGAGAAAAAATATAGATACAGAGTGGAAAATGGCTTCTAGATTAGTTATCAAGGGAGGAATGCAAAAGATTGGAAAAAACCCCAACAAACCAAGAGGTCTCGTTTCTATCATGATTGATTAGCAAACGTTGGCCAGTATGTAAAACCAGCACAGCAGCAGAAGAGAAGGCGAGTCTTTAACATGCCATCACAGCTCAGTGCTGAGCTGTTTTCTGAAGTCATGACTGGGCGAGATCAGAAATTATCAGAGAAATATAACTCAAAGGCCGACAGAGCTACAGCCTCTCTGAAAAACTTTACTCTGACTGCCATCCTAAGCCAACACAGACCCATTTACAAGCCAGCGTCAGCCTCAGGCAGTGCCACAGAAAAGCAAGGTTCCCTTGCAGCTACACAAACTAGCTAGCTACCTACTGGTGCACAAATGGTCCCAAAACGCCTGCTGGCACGGTGGGTGGGAGGCTCCAGAGGAAACCTTGCATGAGCTGGCTAAGGAATTCCTCTCTGATCATCCTCTTTCATAATACAGTTATGTGACCACATAGTAGGGGACGGACGACACAGAAAGAGAGGGGCTAAGTGATCTATAAGGAAAAAGGTGCAAGAGGGACCCATTTTGGAGCTTGGTGAACATGCAGGGGTCAGTTCTCAATCACATAAGCAAACCAGAAGGCCAACTGTACCCTGAGCTGCATCCAAAGCAGCGTGGGCAGCAGGTCGAGGGAGAGGATTCTGCCCCTCTGCTCCGCTCTGGTGAGACCCCACCTGGAGTCCTGCGTCCAGCTCTGGAGCCCTCAGCACAGGGAAGACATGGACCTGTTGGAGCGGGTCCAGAGGAGGGACACAAAAATGATCAGAGGGATCATGGAACACCTCTCCTGTGAGGACAGGCTGAGAGAGTTGGGGTTGTTCAGCCTGGAGAAGAGAAGGCTCCAGGAAGACCTTATTGCAGCCTTCCACTACGTAAAGTGGGCTTCTAAGAAAAATGGGGACAGACTTTTTAGCAGGGCCTGTTGTAATAGGACAAGAGGTAACAGTTTTAAATTGAAAAGGTAGATTTTGACTAGATAGAAGGAAGACATTTTTCCCAGTGAGGGTGGTGAAACCCTGGCACAGGTTGCCCAGAGAGGTGGTAGCTGCCCCACTCCTGGAAACCTTCAAGGTCAGGTCGGACAAGGCTCTGAGCAACCTGCTCTAGTTGAAGATGTCCCTGCTCACTGCAGGGGCGTCGGACCAGACGACCTTTAAAGGTCCCTTCCAACCTAACAATTCTATGATTTGATGATCATTGCAACATTTGCAAATGCACCAAAATTCAGCCTTCAGTGATACTTTAAGTCGCACTGCAATATCCACAGGCATTTTTTACAAGAAGAAAACTGGTTCAAGTGCTGAAGCTTTTCTAGAAGAGATCCTAAGCTAGGAATAAGATAGTAGCATTTTCTGTTTATAGCTGGGTCTTCTCTTCATTGCTGTAATTACCTCAGTGTATAGCTATAGCACTCAACTTACAGACCAAGGCTGTCTCAAGCCCTAGCTAGTTCCAGGGTTACTTGGAACCCAGCTTAGGTGGCCTTTTTGAATAAAGGGGACATTTGAAGCTGCTGACACTTGGACCATGGAGACCCAAACCTATGGGGCAGATACAAACAGGCTGTGGGCTAAATAACACACCCGTATCGCCATTCTCACACAACCTTCATGGGGCACCACAGATTCCAGCCCTTACAGTCAAACCCAGGGTGCAGATGAAATCTCCCAGCACTTCCCAAAGGAATCAGCATCCCACAGAATTAAATCATCTTTTTATAAACAAAGAGATACAACATTTACTTGCAAAAAAAAAAAAAAAAACCAACAACCCAGATAAGGGTAAAGTCACTCTCTGCTTAGGGGGAGATAAATCACACTGCAATATCTTGAAATTAATATGACCAAAAGCATCCAGGCTCTTGCCTATACTTAAGGAGAAAGTACGGCATTCCAGGGGCTTAATTCTTCCCACATTAAATAGAAGCAAGAGCTTTCTGAAGGTGCCTGCCTCTTCAGTAGCTCTGAGGCTATGTGCCCCTCTCACATGCCTAGATACGGACGGATGCAGCCCACGCTAAGTGAAAACGACTCCATTCGGTTGGAGCATTGTCTCAAAATATCTTAAAACAACAAACAGCAACTATCTTACCGCTAAAGACCTCAAACTTTTCAACCAGTTCTGTTATATCCAGATTTGGATGCCCTGAAAACAGAAGCAGAAATTAAGCTGGAGCAGGATAGCACTCCCAAATGGCTCTGCTTTTCAGATGAAGCACCAGTAGCAACAAACCTTTTCGAAAGGCAACGAGCTCTTGGAAATAGAGCGCAAAAAACTCAGTAAGGTCTTCTGGGTTGTTTTCAACAACAGCTCGGCTCACCCCCTCAAGCAGGGTCTTGAGGCCACGTGGAATAACCAGCCTGATCTTTGAAGACTGCATCTTCGCCGCCTCAAGTCAGCTTACGGCTTCTCATCTGTACAAACAGAACCCCTCAGCTGAGCGTCTGCCCTGCCCCAGCGTGAAGTGCCCAGCACCCACAGCGCGATCGCAACTGCTCGGCCCTTGCCGTGTCACCAATAACCCTCCTCCTCCTCCACCCCTTCCCAAACACTCCTTTAACTTAAAGGAGGTATTTACCGTTTGCAGTGACCAAATCCTTTACTGCTCCTCTGCACCTTTAGGCAGCAGAAGGCACAGTCAGGGGGACCAGCCAACTAGGGAACAACGATGTGAATTCAAACCCATGCCACGAATTCCCCTTTTTAAAGGGAAAACCCACCAAAGCACCCCCCAACCGAGCCACAAAAGCCATTCGGGTTCAAGCAAAGAATTTACAGGACACTTCTTCCACTCCTCTCCTCCTCCATTCCCTCCAGCACTTGCTCTCTCCTGGTCCCAGCCTCCCCGCCGGCAAGCCCCCTCGGCAAGGGCCACCACCCCCAGCCAGGAGCGCGTGACATCACAGTGCCTGTGCGTCATCAGCCCAGCGCGGCGGTGCAGAGGTTCGCAGCCGTCAGCAGCTGCACTCCAGCTCTGCGGAGTTACAGTTTGTTGGTAAAAAACGATTTAAAAAAAAAAAAAAAAAGGAACAGAAGGCAAAATACATGATTAAAATTTACAGTCGGGCAGCCAGCGCGCTCCGCGGCCGGGCGGCGCGGCAGCTCATCAGCGAGGGCTTTCCCCCCGCCATAAACACCTCGATGCTCCTTGTCGCACAAGAACCGGTGCGTTTAACAGAGACGACAGTTTGAGCACAACTCTATTTATAGCCCCTTTAATAACGTATTTTAAGGCTGAAGTACGGTGTCGCTCAGGACAAGCGGCGTTACGGGTGAGGCCGAGCACCTACAGTGCTGCCCGCGGGGGAAGCGAGCGCCCGCGGCGCTGGCACCGCGTGAGCCGCTGCCTTTTCTCCCTTCCCACGTTCCTGCTTTCTGCTGCCCACTCGCCTTCAAGCGCGTAACCGGTTGAACTCCCAGCGCAGGCAGAACCCCGCTGAGGGATTTTTGCCAAAACATCCTTTTTCCTTACCGGCAGCCGGACCAGAGACGTTCCTTGCCGGCACAGCAAGAGCGTAACTTTGTGCTCTGTCTTGGGGTTACGAGGACTTCAGAGGATCCAACGCTGCAACCTGCAGAAAGGCTGCAGCCGCACCTCTCCCAGCCCCGGTACAGCGGTGGCTGCACAGACCCAGCCCTGCTTCACAGCCTGGCCTTTTAAGATAGGCAAGATACAAGGCTCAAGGGATTTAAACTGACCTTAACAGACAGCAAAATACAGCACCTGCGAAGCCACGTTCTGGGTGACCTCTGGCAGGAGCTCAGAGCAAACGGCTGGGGACTGCAGCCTCTTCAGCCACGGCAGCTACCCCCAAAGAGGATCCAGATTATTCCTTAATACGGCTCCGTTCATACTGCAGAACCTTATGATTGCAAGGGGAAAACTTGAAATGAACCTCAAGAGCCCCAGGGATAGCATTTGTTCTCCAGCACACATCTTCAGTGGATACACACCAGACCATTTTCTGTTCCAATAAAACTAACACACAAAAAGCAACTGCACGGTGCCATATTTTCAAGGTTATCACTAACGGGGTTTCTGAGGATCACGAAGGCAGGATGGGGGAAGTCATGATCAGGAGTCTGCTGCGGGACAGAAACTTTTATCCACCAACAATGCTATAGATCAGTCTTCAAAGTTGGAAAACCATCATCTACCTACTTGCTCGTGCATTCCTGGATGTCTGCATCTACAAAAAAACTGAGGGGAATCCCAGCAGCACTGAAGACTTGAGACTAAAGTGCTATTGCTGCTAAAGCATTTAGACTGTCTACAATAGCTTTCTTTAATAAGTAATGTTATATTCATCATAGTTCATTGAAAACTAACAAAATATTTTATAACTTTCAAGTTGGTTCACCGGAAGTGGGTTAATGGTAAACTCACCACAAAATGCTTCCTCCGTAAAAGAATCCTTAAAGTATTTTCTCATTCAACTTCTCACAATAGCTCATCAGTCCTGGAGAGTAACGATACAGATCGCACCATTAAAAAAGTTAAATGATATGAATTATGAAATTAGGAGCAATAGCTTTCCTATAGAAAGACTAAGACATACTTCAAGAATATATAGGAGGACTAGAAAATGCATCATTTCTAAAGCCAGGATAGTGATCTGAAGTCTAGATTTCTGTATGAAGAACATACGGAAGCAACAGGACTTGATAAAGGCTTTAAACATACCTGTGTGCAAAGGCAGTCCTGTGGTTAGTTTGAAACCATCCTCAGTGACGACAGATCAGAGGATAACTTGTAAATTTGCTTCTTTTGAAAACTTTCAGAATTCTAGGTCTGCAAAGCTCTGTACAGCGAAAGCTTCAAAGATGTTTAAGTACAGATGTCAAACCACAGAAAACTTTATCATCAGACGTAACCAAATAAACCTCCTTACATATTTATTTTTAAATAAATATGTAAATATTTAAAATAGCAGCTTCAGCCACTAACATAAAAGCACATCTGTCTGAAACTTAAGCATATAGAAAAAAAAATGTCTGGAAACTATTAGGTAGAGATTGGACACAAGTTCTACTGAATCAAGGTCCCAGGTAAGACCTATGTTTCTGCCCAAAAAAGGATCATTTTATTAACTCTTCACTAGATAGTTCACAACAGGTTAATGAATCACACTGGTTGGGGGCCTGTGGGGTGTGTTTGGTTTTGTTTTGCTTTTTTAAACTTGCAATCTCTCTCAAAGCTTCAGCTAAATAGCAGGAGAAGAGGACTTGCATTTTTTGCGAACACCATCTTTTGTGTTTCTACCTGCCAGAGACTTCAGTGTAATTCTAAGTAGGGCTTTGCATTCACATACAAAAATCCCCATGAAAACCTTCTTGCTTCTCCTACCAAAGGTACAAAATACTGGTTTTATTTAAGGTGTCTTTCTGTCTTCCCCTTTGCCAGGGCCTTTGCTACAAGTGGGGAAAAGTCTATGTCCCAGCAATACACTTACTTTTTTTTTTTTTTCTTCTCAATACACTTTTAGTGAAAGATGAAGATGCATTTATGTAAATGGTTTTGCTTGGCAAAGTCCAACGATCTCTCTCTCCCTCCCTTCTTCCCCACTCAAACATTCAGCTCCAACAAGCTTCCTTTTTTTTTTTTTCCCCCTTCTTAAACTCTTCACCTGAAAGCCCTTCTGGGCAACTCCTCTAAGGCAAGCACAGCTTGCCAAAGATGACCGAAAAGCACTGAGGACCAGCCAGTCCTGCTGAGTTTAAACAGCTTACTTGACTGGAACACCATCTTGGAGTCACATCAAAAGATAAACAGCATTTTGGGAAAAACAGTAATGAAAAAATGAGGGGTCAAGAGTGAGACAACTGAATGTGAACTCCCTGTGGCTAAAACACACCAGTGGTTAAAACACAGGGGCTAAATAGGTCATGAAAATCTTGGGTAATTAAGCAAAAAGATTCTTAGCAGAAGCAGGAAACCAATATGCAACTCTAATATGCAGCTACACTGGTATCCTATGCTGGGTCCAGTTTTGAGGTCCAAGCATACATTAAAAAAGTAATCAAAACTAGAAGTAATTCAGTATTTCACTGTGGAAAGCCTGCCTCAAGTTGAATTCCTTACTGTCCCATAACAAACTGGTGGGAGAGTGGGAATATCACTTTTTGCTGTCTGCTAACAGCACACTTTTATAGCTGTTTAATAGAACAAGTTTTGAAGTTCATGGAAAATACAGATTTGCAACATTATGACAAAGCTAAGCCTTTTGTAAAAGAACCCAATCTTTTTTCCAGTGCATTTTGCACACCAGCTAATCTCATACAAGAATTTGCTTTGGCATAAATTAAGACTATTGTATATAGATAGAGATAACTCAGTGTAGAAACTAGCAGGTTCTGATGCTTTCTGAATCTCTGTATAAAATACCACACTTTAATTGTTCTTTGGTCAAAATGAACCAGAACTGGAACTTGCCTGTATATTTCCATCTTCTGTAAGTCAGCTTTTCCAGATAAAAGTAGTTTTTGAAGCAGTATTTTCTAGCTCACCTCAAAATGTTAGAACACAAGACAGTATTGTATAAGCATCTACTCAAACTGTAATTAGCAGAGAAACAATTCCCTGTCCTTTTTTAATAAACTCCTAATTTATATAAAATAATTTGTGATACAGTTCCTTGACTATGAAGGATCAGCGGCAATATACCTGTTCTTCTTACTCCTAAATTTCAGTGGAGCCCACCATTTCTGTTCCAGGCTGCCTGCAGAGGCCCTGCCGAGCCAAGGACAGGCATGCCGGTCAGGTGCCACTGGCTGCCCAATTGCCTTAAAAATAAACTTACTTAGCTTTAATAATACTTGTTTGAGATTGCATAATTTTTCATGAAAGTGATTGCCACCGCTGTCAATATTTTGTAATGACGACTGGAAAGAGAATTTACGTGTCCTTTACAGGCTACTCTGCTTTCACTCCCCCGTAGGTTCAGTCAGCACCCTCGTAACACCAGGTATAGCCCGACGCCAGCCTAACGCTTGCTCCTGCTTAAACAGTTACAGAGCGATTTTTAAACACGAGTACAATCCGCTGTTGGGAGGACAATCAGATTTTTGTAAATTGAAAAGCAATTCAATACAACATTTGGGGAATTTTATTTAAGAATAAAGCATAACTAGAATATGAAACAAGCATTCAAAGTCAGCGAGAGAAGAAATTAAAGTGCTTGCTTTAAATCAGAAACATTTTTCAAAGGTGCAGGAATACAACAGATACAATTGTGTGTGGTTCTTTTTCTTTAATGAAGAACAAGTAAATTAGATGTCTTAAAAATGGATCTTAAACCTTGTTCACTCCATGGTTGATCTCAACATGACACATGTAACTCACTTTCTAAACCAGGAAACTACAGTTATACTGGAAGAACAAAGGCTGAGGTAATTGCTGACTAGAAAACTTTGTTACAGAGTCACTTTACATCCCAGAAGTTTTCCCAATACTTGGTATCATCTTGTTCAGGAGGCCACTAATTAAAAAACAAATTTGAGGAGCAAGGGAACAAAACTCATGTCCACGTTTCTTTTAATTTTACTCAGAAATATAAAAGTGCAAGTCCTGTAAATTAACAACATTTACAGTACATCACAATAAATATGTCACTTTGTGACATCTAAAAATTCTAGTTATTTATTTGAAATGAGTCATATTGAGATAAAAACTGCATTAACATCAACAAAAATACCTGACCTGGTAAAGATAGTCTTAACATATTAATTAGCAAGATGCATATTCCATTATTGCTATTAGACCATGCCTCCGAGTTCCAAAGTATAAAAACTTAGCAGTTTACACAAAATACAGTTGAAATTTGTCTCATCACAGGCACAATCTAACATAAAAAATAATTTTGACATTTACAATGTAGGAGATTCTCCTATGAGGGGAAGGCAAAAAAAAAAAAAAAGAATTAATACAGAAACAGATAGTTCTATTTCAGTGATGATTTGCTAAATCCACAGAAAAGCTGCAATCTACAGAGTTAAACTGTTATATGGATATATAGTGACTTTCCATACCCACTTCTGGCCTGGTGAGAACAACAGGCCTTTTATAGTAAATTTACTACAATTTGCTAGCTACCTCCAAGTATGTAGACCCTCCACATCCCAACACAAATTGCATGCAGGTGCTGTGTGTCCTGAACAGCCTAGCCTCACATTATATTTAAGCAGTGTATTTAAAAGGAACTTTGTCAGTAAATGTACCGTTTCTAGCTATTTACCCAGAATGGGCTATCTGTCTCATTGCAAAACATTAAAAGTCAGATAGGACAAAATAAGATTTCAAGTACATTAAAGCCCATTTTTAAAATCATGATTTGAATTCTAAGTAGTCGCTACATATACAATATATTGTTTCCTAGTCAATACTTATTTGGATTGACCAAATAAAGTTGAACGCTCATCTGTGACTTGATATTACTGTTAAATTTGAATTAAAAAAACCCAGTGTACTACCTGTAAGACCTAGATTATAGAAAAATAAAGCTCCTTTTTAAAAGAGTCTCTCCTCTCCTTCAGAACAACAACAGAAGTGTTTAACTGCTCTAGGAATGCCTTTCATAGCAGGAGCTGTGTATTTCTAGAGAGAAAAAAAAGTGTCTCAACTGTTTCATTTGGCCTACCAAATAGGACACTACTTTTTTCCTCCATATCAGTCTTGCTTTAGATGCAAACTCAAAAGCAAATCAATGAAGGTTAGGTGTGGGCAAGGTCTAAAACTTTGGCAACATATTCTACAAAAAAGTAAGAAAAGAAAAAAAGTTTAAGCTAAGGAACTGTTTAAGGCAACCTGACCAAAGTAAAGGTAAGGCTTTTGGATAACTATTTCCAAGGATATCCAGTTTTCTTAGCTTTGCGAAGCAACATAATTCAACTAACTTTGTGGCCAGATTTCCATTTGTAAGATTCTTTAAAAAAATATTTACCTTAGAATATTACCTTAGAATATGTTATTAACTGAATATAAAACATAAGGAGATACTACATATTACAGACAAAAGTAAAAAAGCTACAGATGAGCATACAAGTATTAAAAATTATATAGACATGACAAAAGTTTTAAGCTCTCTGAGGTATTTCAGTATCTTAACACCACAGGTTTAGCATACCATATAGAGACTTAGGATACTGTAGTATTGGCATAACTACCAAAGGAGATTTTTGGTTTTGTGTTTTGTTTGGTTGGGTTTAATACCTTTAAAGGTCACTGCTATAAAGATTCAGCAGCTTGAATGAAAAATACGTACAATTACTGTATCTGGCCTATGTATTTTAACACACTATTCAGAATATTAAAGACCAGAAATAAAAACTGCCCACACTGTAACTGCATGTCAAACAAAGTAAGTATTCGGCTGGAATGTACCAGAAGCAGAGATCCTAAATATTGACGTAATTTATATCACAAGTATGAGCCGGGTTGGGAGGGAAGGAATGAAGAACGGAAGGGGATGTGAGGTTTAAAATTCACACATTAGTGATCATGTGGTCACTAACATAAGCCACTAAAATTCAGTAAGATCTGCTTTTTGTGGCTGAACAGTTTTCCTCCTCCTGTGTATTGCCTAATGCTTGAAGACAAAAGAAATATTCTACCCATTTCCAACTTCAGCATTTACACCAATTACTTTTATTGTATTATTATAATGAAAACAGAAGTGCTCCTCTTGGCATATTTTAGATCCAGATTATTTTAAAATCACACCTGCCAATATTGTCAAAGTAAATCATGTGTGCTTATTTAGGCTCACCCACAGAGTTACAAGTAATCATGTTCAGCTTGGTTTAAACAAAATAAAAACTGAAGAGTTAAAAACACAAGGTCACTTAACCTTCTTTCTGGTTGATCTACTTTTAGTTAAAATTGTAATGTTTTACACTAAGCCACACCAACTCTGACCATACTAGGAAAGTGTCTCTGGCACAAGTGGTTTTCAGAAGAAAAGCTGGTCTTCCCAACAGCTTTTTCTTCTGCTTCATCTTAAAGTGCAGAAACTGTGGGAAAGGATAACAAGACGTCCTGTCCATCACTGTGGAACTACTTCCCTTAGAGAGGCTAAGGCTGCGTGTATGCGGACGTGCAATCTGTTCTCAAAGTCATAGCCAGTAAATTCCTCCTGGGGAGGGGGGGGAAGAAAAAAAAGCATATAACTATTAGCCTCCTTCACTTTAGGATGTGAAGATAATTTTATTACTGATGCTTAAGAAGTCATGTTATAAAAGAGACAGAAGAGGTGAACTAGAGATTGCATGTTGCAATATCCCTGCATTACCCAAAGCAAGAGAATTATTACAGAAATTCCAAGTTGGTGAAGAGTGCAGAAAGGTTCTATTTCCAACATGCTGTTTGGATCCGAAGTAGTTGAACAGCACCTGCAAAGTTCTGCAAGTTCAAAAGCTCTAGAAAATCCCAACAGACCCAAGCAAGAACCAGTTGGAACAGACAAGGAGGAGTGGAGAGTTGTCATTTTCAAACTTCCTGTAGCCACATCTTAGTTGAAAAACTTAGTGAGGTCCTAACACTCCAGGAGAGGTCACTAATGTGAGCTCTGTGCTATGACTGACCTAAAAATAGATATCCACATAACATACATAAATGTGTATCATACATTATGTAGATAATATATCTACATGATAGCCTTGTAGATGGGGGACACTGACACTTACTATCCACTCCCCCTGTCCCAAAACCCAAAAACACAACCTTTCAAATGCCCTCATCTCAGAAAGATAAAATTTCAAAGTGTCTCAGTTTTTACCTTGGCTTGGAGAAGTAAGGTTTTGCCTCTTGGCACAGTCTACAAAAAGACAAACATTGCATTAGAAATGCATTGCAAATATTACAGAAAATATCTTAACTATATGGCCTGATCAGCCCGGAATAGCATCTCTATCTTGAAAACAAGGTACTGAGCAGACAAAACCCTCTCAAATTAGGAAACTAGAAATACTAGTGAGGCACCCAGGAAATGCAGTATTACATATTTCTAGTTTTCTACAGAAAAGGAGAAATTACAGCCTTAAATGCAAGTTGCTACTGATGGTGGTGAGCTGCAACAATGCACAGGGAAACAAAGGTTACGCTACAGATAAATGACTAATGGATCAATAGAGTAATTTTCGTTTCGTAACCGAAGTTTAAGCCATTTGATTTACAGAACAAGTTATTGGATTTTAATAATCAACTGCCTGATAAAAGACAGAAAATTAAGTTTTCTTATTCAAATATATCTGAACACATGTAAGTTCATATTGGTTAAATTACATTCAGTGTCTAAGAAATCTACAAAAGAATCTGTAAATTTCTTGACTTAACCATATAAAAATCTTCAAGAACTTGATTAGAACTAAGTTTAATAAAACAAAGATGATTCAGATAACATGGTAAATCAAACATGTAATTATGAGTAATTTTAAAGCAAAGTAAATTTAATATGCTTTTTATACTAAAATTACATTCGTATCTGTATCTGTTGCTCAGGCCTTTAATACACTCATCCTCTCAGGTAACTGTGACTTATAAAATCCTATTTCCTTCTCTTTCGTAACCATTATAGAGCTCTCACATGACACCACATCTAGTGAATTGAATTTTCTACAAACAGCATCCACTCACCTCTAATTCCAACTCTTGCTTTTCCCAACCCCATCCTACTTTATTCAAGTCAAGCATCTTTTACCTCCTCATTGTCCAAGTGCCACAAGAGGGTGCTTCCTGCATGACCCTCACATCCTAAGTCCTACCATAGCTTCTCTGTATAGCTACAGGCTGAGGCTTGTTCAGTCTTCAAACACCCAACATGAAGCACATTTGGTTACTGTGTGCATACACTACATGTAAAGCTGGGAGGAAGGAAGGACTGCTCCCACATTCGCTAAATCTTTAGATAACTGCACTACCTACCACTTTTTTTTTTTTTAAGAGACATTTGACATGATCAAATTTAAATATGAACACGGGGAAAAAGGCAGCAGGAACATTACTGACTCACACCTCCCTACCAGGCTTCAAGGCCCAGTTCTAAGTTGTAGGGCAGCAGGGTTTTCAAAAAAGAACAATTATTTTTAGAAGCGTTTTCTAGTTTTGTCCTTTGTCATGATGATAATTTTTATTGAAAGGTTTTCCTTTCTTTCCTTCCCTTTTTAAGGGGAAGGTTCAGCTGAGACGATTAAATCTGACAAGATTAAAAACAACTGAAGAGAGGATCTTAAGAATATAAGATATTATCAGCCCAACTACTCGATACACTACTTACAAAGGTCTGCAGGTTCAAGTCATTACCCTGTAACCACTTCCCTTAACTTGCAATCTGATTCGGGAAGTACTACACGAAGTGGCATAAACTCCAAGCAGTGGTGTTACGTCTTTGAGGAGAGAAACAGCAGCACCAAGAGTGGTGCAGAAGTTGCCTTAGTTTAAGATTCTCTGGGCTCCCTAGGAGACAGGGTATGTGCAAAGATCCGACTGATCAAATATATCAAACCAAAGCCGTTTTGGACAGTTCAAAATACAAGTTTGATCCCCAAAACACAGAGCTATTTTAGTATGGCACCAAATTCTATTGGGAGAGAATAACTACAGGTAATCTTTGAGCTTGAACAGCATCCAACAGGAAATTAAATACCTAAGAAAAGGACTCTAGGCACTCGCCACACTAAATACCACCTGCAGACAACAGATCCCTGCCTACCCAAGGCATTCTCGCCAGGCCTCTACTGCCACCAGCAGCAGGAACACTAAAGCAAGTAAAGGCAGAGAGAGGGCTTTGCATCTTGAGGGGTGACAGAATTTCCATACCAGTATTTATATATACAATTTCTGTAAGCACATATTAAAAAAATGAGCACGATCATGGCATGATCAGAGGTGAAAAGTAAAGCCTTTATGTTGCTTTTTGGGGTAAAGTACTAAATAATAATCAAAACAATGTGGTGCTACACTCATCAAAATTCTTGCTTTGCTGATTGCAGTAGATTTGCAGACATGTTCATTTTACTGCTAGAGAAAGACACCACCAATGGTGAGGAATGTAACAGCTGCCCTGAAGCATCTCAGAATCTTAGGCTCTGTTTTTTATGTAAAAATAAAATCCAGTAACAACAAAACAAGTCACTGCAGTGTTATCAACAGATAACTAAGCTCTTCAGAATGTCCTTATAGCTCTTGATATTGAAAAATTAAGACGTTGTTACCTAAAAAGCATTGCATTTCTTGGTTTGCAAAAAAACAGAGTACTAAGTTTCTTTACAGTAAGTATAAAACAAATTTAAAGCTTAACATACATTATCACCTATAAACTTCGTTTCATTGTTTGTATAGCACTGTGTTGACTCCCTATCCTAATTTTAAGAGTTTAAAAATAGGTTACACTATTACCTCTGGATTGTCTAACAGAAGACAGCCAAGTTCATAGCAAGCATATGGCTGGATGTATAAGTTGTTCTGACGGCACAGTTCATCTTTAGCAGCTCGCTGAAAGAACTACAAAATTAAAGAAAAAGAAAAGAAAATAAGGTTTGCAGTAATACACTAAAATTGACTGTTTGATACTTAAAAAGACACCCAGAAGTACCGTTCAACTTTAAACACTAGAAGTTAGCCCAAATCTAAAATGAGATTACATTAAAAATTTCCAAATCATAGAGAATCTTTAAGCATGTACCCAAATGTTTTCACTGACACAACTGTATCAAGGCAAAACTATTTGTTTGGACTTTTATGGAGTAATATACTGTCTGTTTCAAAAGTCTTCCAACTTCATATTGAAAAAATAGTAAATCTATCAAGGAACTTCAACATCAGATATTAAGAACCAGGATTATTTAAAATATGCTTGAGAGAAGCAGAATAAAGAAAAAGGAAAAAAGATTTAAAGCCAGCATCAGCTTCCTTGTTGCTTATATGAACTGCATTCTATTTTGGGGAGGAAAAAAATAGTTGTGCCTACAGATCAAAACCTGGAGCAGTGGCAAAATTATTTGGTATGTGCTAATAATCAAACCTCTCAGTGCCTAACAGGTCTGGAGGAGAAGCAGAAAACCCATGTTTTTGGAAAGGTCCATCTCCAAGTTTTTTGGGTTTTTTTTGGTTTTTTTTGTTTTTTTTAAGCTGAATTTTCTTTGTTGGACAAAGTAAATCCAGCAGAGCCAAGAACTTCTCTGTTCTTCTTCCCAACTTCCCCTTAACTCTTGCTCCTATGAGCCACTTTAGCTACCACGTTCATTCAAGATACATAATTACTTTTACAACACAGAATAGAATCATAGAATAGTTTGGGTTGGAAGGGACCTTTAAAGGCCATCTAGTCCAAATCCCCTGCGATAAGCAGGGATGTCTTCAACTAGAGCAGGTTGCTCAGAGCCCCATCCAACCTGACCTTGAATGTTTCCAGGGATGGGGCAGCTACCATCTCTCTGGGCAACCCGTGCCAGTGCCTCACCACGCTCATTGTGAAAAATGTCTTCCTTCTATCTAGTCTAAATGTGCCCTCATTTAGTTTAAAACCATTGCCCCTTGTCCTATCACAGCAGGCCCTGCTAAAGAGTCTATCTTTCATATAAGCCTCCTTTAAGTACTGGAAGGCTGCAATAAGGTCTTCCCGGAGCCTTCTGCTTCCCAGGCTGATCATCCCCAATTCTCTCAGCCTGTCCTCACAGGAGAGGTGTTCCATCCTTCTGATCATTTTTGTGAGTCTCCTCTGGACCCGCTCCAACAGGTCCATGTCTTTCCTGTGCTGAGGGGTCCAGAGCTGGACACAGGACTCCAGCTGGGGTCTTACCAGAGTGGAGCAGAGGGGCAGAATCCCCTCCCTTGACCTGCTGCCCACACTGCTTTGGATGCAGCCCAGGATGTGGTTGGTCTTCAGGACTGCAAGCGCACATTGCCAGCTCATGTCCAGCATTTCACCCACCAGTACCCCCAAGTCTCTGCTGCTCTCAATCCCTTCATGCCCCAGCCTGTACTGATGCCGGGGGTTGCCCTGATCCAGGTGCAGGACCCTGCACTTGGCCTTGTTGAACCTCATGAGGTTCATGTGGGCCCATTCCTTGAGCTTGTCCAGGTTCCTCTGGATGGCATCCCATCCATAATGAAGTCATGCTAAACAGAAGATTTGAAAAGAACCTGACATACTGCTTTGTGAATTCCAACAATATCACCAACAGCACTGCAAACTCATGGCTTACACAGCACTCTTACTCAACAATACTTACAGTTTAACAGAATAGCTCATAAAATAGAGTTAATGGTGTAAAATATCATTTAACAACCTACCTGAACAGCATCTTCAGAATTTCCTAAGCATTTGTGTATGGCACCAAGAAGCAAATTCCTCAAACCAACAGCCGATGAGTCATCAACATCCTGACAAGCTTAATGAAAAGATTCCAGTAAACAAACAAGATGGACTGAAATCCTTCCTTAGACAAGAATTGTGGTCTATGGTGACATTTGGTCTGATGATTAAATTTAACCGGAAGGAGAGTCTAGTAACATTAATGTAAATCAAAGTAACTTGGTTTCTTTTAAATACAACCCATTTTGTATGAACCTCATCAAGCAATCTGTCACTCATGAGAACAATTCCAAATAGGAATGAATGGGTTGAAGTCAAAGGCAGTTGGTGTGATGTTCTGACAAGCAGAAGAGAATCTGTTTGAAATACCCACTAAACGGTAAAGTTACGAAACAAATCACCTCCTTTTGGTGTTATGGGATACTGGGCTGTCCCAGATACTGAAAGAAAAATACATAAGCCAAGTTACAAGGAGCACAGGGCAAGCAGTTCAGACAAAACTGATTTGTTCTGAACTGAAGCCAAGTGCCAAGACACACAAAAATCTGTACTGGACTTAAAAACCCAGACTAGGGTGTTTTGGCATCACAATTCTCAGTGCTGGTGAGAGGATAAGGCTTATTTGTCAGATCTTAGCTGGTCCACAATCCAGGGACAGACTGTGCCTCAGCTGAGTAGTAGTACTCTCTTTCCAGAAAGAACCGAATCATGATGCACATAACCATCTCTAGATGAATCAGGCTCCATTTTGATCAAGCTTATTAGCACCAGCTCTGTTAAATCAAGGTTAGTTCCATGAGGAGCCATTTGCACTCATCTGCACCATTGCCTTCAAAAAGGCCAAGGTACAGAGAGGCTTTTCATCCCTTCAGAAGGAGCTTAACTGCTGTGCCTGGAGCAGTAGAGCTCCTTTAACTTCACATTCTGCCTCACCTCATAAACCCTGCCAGACCTTAACTAGCTCTCATTCACAACAGTTAATCCACAACTCAAATAAGCCACCTATGAATAACTAAGAGTTGGCTGCATGAAGTATTTGGACACTACACAACGCACAAGGCTGTCAACCCTCACTTGTATTGTGAGTCTCAAGTTCCTTGGCATTTTACTTAGAGAGATACATGTGGATACAAATTAATTCCTTTATTTTTTGAAGTCAACTTCTAGGCCTGACAAAAAGCCTGGAAATTCACCCCAGCAAATTACATTCCAATTGTTCAAGAGAAGAGGAAACAAAAAAAAATTATCCCCTATCATCTCATCATTCTTGAAATACACGTAAGGCACAGCAGTAACATTCTCACTGTGAAAAAAATTTTCAACCAGGGATCACTGATGCAGGCACATCTGTCACTGTCACACATTATGAAAGTTTTAATTTGCTAGAATTTAATTAAAATTCTAATCTCTGAATTTTAATCTATACTGCCATTTCACATTAAAAGGTGCACCACTGGCTAGAAGCTTATACTAGGAACATCTACACTGCTTCTAAGTGTGCAGGAGAGAAGCACATACTCTACAACCTTTGCAGCTGATTGTTCTGATGGCAAATGACAGACAAAAAAATTCTGAAATTTCTTTTTACATAAGTAAATCTTATTTTAGAGCCTTCACCATTATGTTTGGGACTAGAAAACTAAGGATCTGAACATAACCCACTGCCATCACGCAATTTAAATGGACAAGTTACCTTAAATTAAAAACAGAACAAAACCCCACAACTAGTCCTGACTCTCAACTTAAAGACTGGCAGTTTTCTGGCTTAACATAAAAGTCATGTACAATCCCCAAAATTTCACAATTACAGAAAAAAGGAAGTAACTCGGTAGCAGACATTTTTTGTTTCATTTTCTAAATGAGCAGGTAATAACTTGAAGCTGTTTGCAGAATGCAAACAAGCCTGATTGCTGGATGGAGGGAGGAATACTGAAAACTTCGTCATAAACACTGATCCCATAAACTTTACGTGACAGACATCCAAAGACACCTGGAGACTAAGAAAGAGGCAATCATAAAATGCTCCTTTCACAATGAAGATGGTCCCAGCAGCCAAGACAAACAGAACCTTTATGTCACAGGTGACCTCACAAGCTACATATTTCCTCTTAGAATACAATTGACATGCAGAAATTAATTAGTAGTTTTATTTTTTGTATTTTATAGCTGGGTTTAAATGAGTTAAATTTTGCTTAGTGACTTTGAACAATCACACTATTGTTTCATTTTAACAACGGGCAAGCACAACTGACTAAAAAAGCAACTATATGCAGCAGGCAGTTACACTTCTCTGAAAAACCTATAAAAATAGTAAAAATGAAGCATTAAACTGAATCATAATGGGTCATTATTCTGTTACTCAAACTGTTTTGCTATCACACAAGCACACAGGTTTAAATTTTCATGCTACAGCAATCAGCTACTCCACACAACAGACGAAAATTATTTGAAAAAGTAAACAAATAGATCAAGGAACCATATTATACCTTGGCTCATATGCTGTAAGTTCGATAGGGAACAGTTTGGAAGGGCTTTCCATAAGTACAGTACTTCAATGGATGCCAGGACACAGAGCTCTTTGGTTGGCATTTGTTTTCTAAATCTATCTGCCTGCAAAGTGGGGAGAAAGAGGGAAGGGAGATCTGTCATCTGCCCTTTTACAGGGAACATAGTTTTTGCAAACGATCTATTACAAACAGTAATTTTAACTGTTTCATGAAAGCATCCAACAATTTTATGAAAATACGGTGGTAACTTATCTTAAAGACTTTAAAGACTAAAAAGCAAAATCTTTCAGTTAAGGGCTTACGTATTGATAAAATTAAAGCTTCCTTGTATGCAGCCTAGATTAGTTTTATTTTATTTCACAACCTCAAGTACACACTGACTGAATGCTGAAATGGCAACATCTGCAAGATCATCAGTTGGGAAATATTTCCTAGACAACTCCTAACCTTCAAAAAGAACTAAGGCTTTGACAAGATGAGATAAAAAGGACTAAGAAAGGCAAAGCTAGAAGGAAAATTACAAAGCAACTACAGTATCATATATTTTTATCTTTAACAATTACTTTATTGTAAAGTGAACAGCTAATTCACATTTCCTTTGCTAGGTCCTTAAAGTACATGACACTATTGTTTTTCCACCTGAATCTTTCCCATTAATTCTACAGAAGCAACATAGGAGAAAACAGACACAGCCTTCAAAAACAAATGCTGGTAAAGAATTCAACAGAAATACCAAGTGTAATTACTGTACTGAAACAAGTCAGCCTATGCTAAACCAAACCTTTTTCACTGAAAATTGTTCAATCTGATTGTTTTTTCTTTTGAAAAGCTTCTGAACTTCCTTGAACACATTCTGAGCACCATTGACATCACCAGTGGCTCCTTGACACACTGTAAGAACACAGAAACAAAAATAGGTCAGTCTCTCCAGATGCCTGTGAATTGTTCATAGTCCACTAATCTGTACAAACATCTACATCTTAAATTATTCCAGTAGTTTTTACACCAGCAAAAGTGAGGGTTATTTGTGTTTTGGCTTTTTTTTCCCTTTCCTTTCAAATGAGATCTGTCCTCCCAGACTAGTTAGGAATCAAAACTGAGCAAGTTTTCAAGTCCTGGTTTCTCAGCGACAGGTGTTCCCTACAGTACATGATGGTGGTCTACAAAGAGCTGACTCATCACAGGATGCTGCCATTTCAACTTGTTTTTCCTGTTAAATTAAGATAGCTAAAAAATTATGCGCTTTAATATTTCCCTAGTATTTCCATACAAGCAACTGTTGTACCTGTTGCAATAGCAGGGAATATTTCAAATAGAAGGTCTGCACTGGCACGCTGTCTTAAAACAGCATTTTTATTAGAAAAAAAACCCACATTCTGAAAAAGCACGAAAAATCCTGAACTAAAGCTTTAACTTGAAGCAAGACAAAGCCTGAGCCACTTCCAACATAACCCACTGTTAACACTACTGGCATATGAAACAGGAAAAATTAAGATTAGGTATCATACGGTCACAGGAAAAAAAAAAACTACACACACACTTCCAGAAAGGATCTAGATTGGGCATTTGACAAACATGCAAATCCCAACTCTCCCAGGTACTCGCTGTGATCATTAAAAAGTCAGTACTACTTTTTGTACCCATTAAAGGAACTAATACCACCCAACCTCTAAGGATTTATTTAAACGTTTTCAATACACTGTTATGTGACCTGTCACTACACTGACAATCATAATTGTATCTACACCTAGAAAGGGGGGGAGAGAAAGTACATACCCACATGTTATGTTCATGCATTCACATGTACATTATATAAACAGAATTATGTAAGTCAAGTCTGGCATAAAGCTGGGTGAGCAGCAGGCAATGTGGAAGGCACTATGTGCACTATTAAGTTTCCCAAAACAAAACAATGCCAAAACCTTATCACATCACTGCTCTATCACTTATCCAAACACACTGAATATACCCACCTGCTGTTAAATAAGCATAGTAGCACTGGGACCACCTGGATTCGTTTTTAAGCCTTTCAAAGGATTCAAACGCATCTTTGAAATTCATCTCTATCATGCTGCACCAACCTAAAAACAAGACTAATCTAACTTCAGAGAAAGCAGTAATTCAAATTTGGTGTCAACATTACTGAAACACACAGTCTGTTATGAGAGCTGGAGATAGTTTAACAACTATACCAATAACTGGAAGACTTAAAACCAAAACAAATCAATAACACACATTTAAAGTCTGGTTTAAATTTACTGGGAAATGTTGAATTGTAAGATTCCACACAAGACAACAAACCCACTTCAGAGCAACAACAAATCTACACAGACATCAAAAGCTCTCTTGGTTTTTTTTTCAACTATATTTTGTAGGATATTGAAATTTATAAAGCTACTACTTGCTCCCTTATTCTTCCCCACTGTGACAAGATTCCTTAACCAGACATGTTTAAAGCTTGAAGGAACAGATCTTCTCCACTCTAAAGACTTGTATACAAATTAAGAACTTATAGCATATATTGATAACGATAGAAGTAAATGAACATGAAATATGGGTTCTGCAAACTGTGAAGCTTCAATAGACCAACTAGGTTTTGGCACAGAAATGGTGATTCCACAGACAAATCAGATGACTTAATTTCTCTTTTTAAACAATATTCTGTAGGTGAACAGTTTGCCCTTGATTCTATACGTCTACTCCCTGATTTTGCACCACCTTGTAGTTGCAGAAAACTTTAAAATTATGAAAGATTGTCAAATTCTACTTGCCCAAACAAGACAACAGGATTATTATCATAATCCATCCAAGACAAAGACTAGTATTCTAAAAGCTTTTTAAAAATCCTAATAAAAATAATCCAGTTTGTTTATTGGAGTTACTAGCCTAAACTTGAAAGTGAGCTATTGATAGTACAAGCATATCCAACTTACCTATTTCATATAGGCAGACATGTTGAATCTCCCTTTGGTCTGTTGCAAGTTCCAAAGCGGTATGAAACGAGGTCAAGGCACTATTGATTTGACACTAACAAAAGTGAAAGAAGGAAAAAAAAAAAAAAAATTCAAATGTCTGAAATTATCAAAATCAAATTACCCAACAAATTTTAAAAGAAAACATTCAGATTTCCGTTAATAGGTATTTTTTTAACCATATAGTTAAATAACTGAAGTGTCCTACAGATTGCAGCTTCTGGTTTAATTAAATGAAAGAGGCACAACATTACATTGAGAGGAAAACCTCAAAACTCAGACTCTAGATTATTTTACGTGAGCTAAAACCCACCATCGAGCTAACTGTTTCAAGAAGAAGGGATAACATTAACTCAGTGTAACAGACCCACACTGCAATTCCTTTGGCCAGCTTCCCTCTTCCCAGCGCTCTCAACCTCATCACTTTTGAATGAAAGTGTGGGCAAATTATGACAAAGCCTTTATTTACAATGATGAAGATCCTAAAGAGGTCCCACAGTCAACATATTTTTCCATATATTTCATCTTCAAGATATGAAACATAATACAAGAGCCAAATTATAAGAAACAAGGTAAGTAAGAATCACTAATACAAAGCAACTCATTTATGTTTAAATGAAACTTTAGACAAGAATGCAAAGCATTTGTTTGCAAGGTACTAACAATCAGTTTCACCATGTACAATAAAATTTAAAACATACAGTAAGGAACTTGCACTCTAAAAGTCATATAAAAAGAGAAATGTAGAACACTACAGACTTAAAAATAGGAGGAGGGGTATACTAGAGGAGCTTAGTAATGATCACCAGTAACTTACAGCCAGTTCAGATCATCTCTCAACCTTAAAAATCAGTGGCTGTGTTCCTTCAATTTGCTTTTAAGTCCAAAATTAATCAGCTTTGTGCAGTAAGCTTTTCAGTAATCTCATTTTGACTCTTACTAGTCATTCCGCCTTTAAAAGTCATATAGTCTTAGCATCTGCCAATAAAGTTTAGCTTTCTGCACAATAAGGGTATCTTTAATGTTTAATTTTATTTTTAACTCTTTCACCTTTTTCCATGTCAGTAACCACTGACCACTGTTCCTTAGTAACCACTTTAAAGAACAGTTAATAGAGAATTCATAAATGCTGCACAACATGTGAGAGAAAAAACATTTTGATAAAATCGTTACCAACAGCTTCGCAAAAAGAGGCTGATAGCTTTTGTAACAACTAGAATGATAGTTCTTTTGACTACCTTCATTTCTAGTTTTCCTAGTCTAGGATGGGACTTCGCTGTAACAATCATCGAAAAGGGGAGGATGCAAATCAACATTTAATTAGTTCTATACACACACACTATATATATATATATATATCTCAGTACGTCCTGTATCCGCTTTAATATAGTTCCTATATTTATTCTCACAGACAATTACAGTAATTTATGCAACAGAAGAATCTTTAGACCACACTCTGCTGGCTAAACAAGTAAGTGAAAGAAACCCTTGAAAATGCAAACCTATGCATCTATGCTAGCATAACTGAATTAAAATTCCTGAAAAAAAATCTGCAGCAGTGTATCTTAAGACCACACACATAGAGCTCTAAAGTGATTTTATTAGATTTCCTTCTTTGTCTTGTCAGGGAAAACTCTTTTTAGTTGCTAAGGAACAATTTAACCATAAATCACACATATTGCATGAAGACAGCACAACTGCCAACAAAGGGATCCACAGCAGTATCAATATAAACACTGTACACTTTGAAAATAAAACAGTGAGTAGACTAACATGCTTGCTGGCATGACAGAAAAATATACTACACAAAGACAGGTGAGTTATATTTGCCCTCTAATTTACCAGGGAGCCTGAGTAATGTACACTTTGTTTACTTTTAGCAGCACATTCTCTCCACTACACATTACTCCACAAATGCTGCATTACCCCAACACAACTTCCTGGAAAATAAGTGTTATGAGCCCAGTCTTACAGAAAAAAATAAAATAAAAATCATGTTGGCTTAAAACTTTACCTTTGTGCTAAGTTTAGAAGTTCAGTAAATCTAGGTTTTGAATGCTTCTGTGGAAAATAATTTAAAAAAAAAAAAACACAAACCTAAATATTTAGTCCTCTGTAAAGATACCTTACCTTCTAAAAACCTAAAAATTTGAAAATATATATCACTTATTTGTAGGTCATGTTATTCCACACAATGACTAATAGCAATTACATCATTGTCTGCAACGCCATACAGCAGCCTGGGGCAGCACATGAAATACTGACCACCTGGTAACATACAAGTCCAGTTAGTTGAACAGTCAATCTTCTATAATCCATTTCCCTAACTGTCTAGATCTCTCAATTGTTTTGACATCTGCCCAAGTTTTCCTTAAGCTCCGCGCTCAGTAACCATGTTTCAGAGACATTAATTATTGAAGTTTCCATCATCTCCAGGGATTGTGACAATATTTCTACTCTGAGTGTTAATTCTTAAAATAAATTAACTACTGTTTACTGTTACAAAGAATAAACAGAAAGAATTATAAAGTCCCAAGGGTCTGCAAGTATAACATCATAGCTGACACTTGAAATTTATGTTCTTGAGATTTAAAGATGTACACACACTTGTAATTCCTTCAACAAGCATCCTTCACATCTCTCTTGGACATAATACAAAGACAAAAAAGATTAATCCATAAAATGTGTAATATACAGAACTACAGAAACATAAGGATTACTGAGGTAAGATTATGGTTCTCATGTTAACATTTCTTGACTTTAGATTAAAACCAAAACCAGCCCAAGGCACCAACCAAGCATCTACACAGCTTGCCAAGCCAAGGCGGCTTCCCGAGCCAACACACACTTCCCCGCAGAGTTGTTCTGAAATCCCAGGGTACTTTCCCTCTCCCAGGACCCCTTCTGTTCTCCATCAGCACTATGAATTTGTAAAGTTTTTAAAAAGTCATGCCCATAATTAAAGGGAAACTAACAAACAATATATAGAAGAGGACAATTTACACTGGAGGACACTATATGAAAATTTCAAAGCCTGGATTTTCTATTCCTCACCACACACCTCTCTTTTTCCCTAGACATGCCACAAAATCAAAATAGAGTAAAACTAGGATTCTGTATTTTATAGCCTAGAACAAGTAACTAGAGAGGCCAGCACAATTCCTGAAAATAAACCTTGACATTACACAAGATCTGAAAATTTTCTTTACTTAAGACATCACTGTGACTTTATTCCAGAAATTCATTTAAGACTGTTCAATGCTTATAATTACTCTTGCCTTCAGGCTACTTTTTCATGCCACACCCTCCCACCCCTAAATGAGAATGATACAACTGATACCAAGAAGTCTATAAAAGGTAACTAAAAAAGCAAGAGTACTTGTCAGCAGTATATTTAATTCCGCAACCCCACTGCACATTTTCACCAGCCTGCACAAACATTCTGTAGCACACCCGAATGTACCACTGGTGTTTTGCTTGTCAGCTGGAATATTTGGTACTTTTTCCTTCAGACTCTTAACATGCAGCTATACCAACTGAACTCTATAGATCAAGCCTCAGAATCTGAGATTTTTGTCCCAGCCCCAAAGATTTCTTGTTTATATATACACACCCAGAGCCTGTTCCCAAAGAGAAGCAATCTTGCCCAGTTCATGATTCTGTCAAGCACTTTGCTCTTCACATGAAGCTATCAATCTATTTAACTATTTCTGAGTGGGGTGATTTGTACTATTTTAAAAAGCAGATAGAAATTTTATTTAAGTGTTGCTGATGGAGGGGGCCAGGGGGCAGAAGGCAAAATTGCAAGCTAAAAAGCAGAGATACCTAAGATTCAGATCATGACCTTTTACTCTTCCCTCTCCCATGCTACCACCAAGCCCATCTTTCACTACTGGCCACAATACCACACTTGAATAGTCTAAGTCACAGTTTTAAAAGTAAATTGGTATTTATTAACATAATTATAATATTAGGCAAGACACATTTAGCAGACAGATGGCAATATTTTTATTTTTCACAGTAATAAGAAATACCCAAGGGGTATTTCTGAAACTCTGGATTTCAGACCAGCCGGTTTCAGCAGCTATTAGACTAATTACATTTTTAAGTATCCTTTAGGCACAAGTATAAAACATTAGTCTCACTTGGTTTTAGTAGCTTAAGCATACATAAAACAACATTATCAGCTCTAGTGTGAAGTATTTCAAAGATAGAATCAGTCAGACATTCATAAAGAAATACTCGTGAGGCTGGAATACATACCATACAATCACATTTCAAGCACAGCAATAGTTATGTCCATAAAAACAGCCCAAGTTAATTATTTAAAAGTCAGGAAAAAATGCTGCTTTTAATAGGCGGTCTCTTAACCTACTCACTGAAAGAGAGACATTTGATCAGCCTACCACTGCAATCTTTAACTTTCTGGTGCACTTTCATTCCAGCTTTCCCAGACCATCCTCCTCTCCTTTCCCTCAACTCATTCATTTCAATAATCTCCAAACATTTTCAGACTTAATTTCTCAAACACATGAACCTGGACAAAAAGATGAAAGATTATTTGGTCCACGTTTATAGTACCTATAAGGCTATTTCATAGAAAACCAGTCTGTTAAGGTTTTTATTGACTAATATTCATACATGCTTTCTGGAACACAAAGCATTATATGGTCACATGCTCTTTGTTTGCCTTTCACAGTCCTGTCACTGTGAAATCTTCCTTCCTCCTCAACTGCCTTCCTTGGCAATTTTCTCCTTTGTAATATTTGTGTCTCACTACTGCTTCTGCCTTTAGATCAGCTTCCCTGCCTCCAGGTGCCAATGGCTGAACTGCACTCCTTACAATTTCTTTTTTCCGTAGAACAGAAAATATACACACAAACACATACATGTTAGCATTTACGCACAGACTTGCTAATAGAAGCTGAATCACCCGAGAGTTACACAAAATGGATGTGTTTGTAGCATCAAAGACTATTAAAAAAAAAAAAAAACTGATGGACGGAGTGCTAGTAGGCTCTAATACAAAGCCTACAGTGACCGCTACTGATTCTTATTTCCAGAACATACAAGCTCTTCTGTATAACAATGTATAAGCTGCGCTTCATTACTATTAAATTTATCACTGAATCGTTAAAAGATGACAGATGTTAAAGACTATAAAACATACAAGCTTCAGCTCACGGTATACTTTAAGTGCTTACAGGTTAAAGCACAGACTTACCAATTTCAGTAAGCCATCACAAAATAATATTCCCATGCCTGGCAGAACAAATTTAAACCCACCTGTGCATTTAACAATTTCAAGGAAGGCCATATAAGCACTTCATAGGTTTTGCAGGAGCTCCACTCAGCCCCCTTGTAGATGAGGTGGAAATTACTACTCGGCATATTAGTTCGTAATCTAATAGTATACATGCACGTCTGGTTCAGAACATACAATAAAACCAGTGCCCAGATTTAGGACATGTGTAACTACAAGTGTATTGTACAGAAACGCAGTGCAGCTCCCCATGCCGCTGCCACCAGCCACACATCTGCGTTCGCTATTATGCCAAAAACATTTGAGCAAATTAAGCTTGCAAATTCATAACAGAGTCTACAGAAGAGCTTGAGACATTTAACCAAAACATTCAGACACAGCAAAGCCTCAATGATACAGTGCCACTTAGAACAAAGGAAGGACAGAGTAACAAAGAAAGCAAACCAAACACCAACACAAAAAAAAAACAACCAACAAAAAAAAAAAAAGAAAAAAGAAAAAAAGAAAGAGGCTCCTGAATGGAAAAGCTCTCATGCAAACAAATACGCGAACAGGGACATTTGATTCCTGTTAGCAACCGATAAGCCTTCTGCTGACTAAGAGTATGGCTACATAGCATAATGTATAGCATTCTGCCTGCCTCTGCTAACTAACTTAGTTAACATGGCCACACTGTCTCTGGCACAAGCTATTTCACTTGGAGCTAAACTTCGGTACAGCGTCACTTAATACACAAATACTCTAAGATAACAAGTAAAGAACTGCTTTAAAACATAATGGTATTCCAGAAAGGGACTGGCTACACAAACTGACACTCATCCCAAACCTCTGCGTATTTACACGCAGAAACATACTGTGTATTGACAACTATGTTTACAATTTTGCCCTAGCTTGCCCTGAAAGTCCTAAGAATCATACAATAGTTGAATTTTATTCCTCATTACACTAACATGAAAAAAGAAGTTCCAAATAGCAAGTGATACTCTAGCAATCAACATATTTACATTTTCAACTGCACTTGAGTTAATTTTGTAGTTGTTCCTGACAAATTTGAGCTTTACCACAAGAATGGAACATGCATATAATTGAACAAAGAGCAGTAAAATCTTCCCCACTCAGAAAACAGCATTCATTCCCAAAGAATGACAGCTTACCTGTGACACTAATTCCCCAAATGCATTTTTGCTTTCAGAAAGACAGCAAAAAGAGAAAAACAACATCCAAACCCCACACAAGAATATGCCTGCAAAATCTGATAGGCCACAAAAGCATGCCCCCACTGTTCTGTTACTGTTGCTATCTCCCTCAAAATATTAAGATGTATTTGAGAGACTGCAAACTCTAGCAAAGAATGACTATCAATATTAAGATCTGGATTAGCTCTTGTAATTATGATGTTGAAATGAGGGGTTTGAACGTTCTAGTTTTGTGCTTTTTTGTTGGTTTTTTCTTATTAATGTAATTGTTCTGGAAATATTCTGGGCTAGTAAGAACAGCAGCTAGGAGTTGAGTAGTTTGAAGTTCTCATCACTATCTTGTATTATCACAGATTCTTAAAGAACAACTCAGCCAAAAACCACAAGGCCACTGCAGTGTTTGAATGACACTCTGCAACAGCATTCACAAACACATTTTCAGTAAATACGTTTCTGCTTGGGTCAGCACTCACCCTTAGCAACAGAAAACATCCTGATTTGACCCCTTAAAAGCAAAAGCACTTATTTGAGGGAAATCATTGCAGAGAATTAGCTGTATATGAACAATGCATAAAATGAGAAGGGGAAATGCTATGTACTCAGCAGATAATACTCAGATTTTAGCTTGACAAGCAAAACTGAAATAGCTATTTATGCCACAAGAAAGTCATGAGTGCCCAAAAGCACTTCCTTTTAGCACAGAGCTACAAATGTATCGAGTAGCTGAAAAAGAATTTCAAAGTGCCATTAATTCAGATTAGTAAAAGAGCAAGTTTGGCATGTGAACCTGAAACTGGGAAGGAATTAATCCTTTCTTCTTCTCTTTCCATGTACCTGTATCTTTAGCCACAATTTGCTTAATCTTGCACAGTTCATTCACATCAGAAAAACATAAAATAAGAAACAGAGGGCAGGGGGGAATCATTCAAAAGGAAGAAAACATGCAGTACCTCTAATCGCTGTATTCTTCCCTTGAAGAACATGAACAGAGAGGAATTTGGATAAGCAGATTCCTTTTTTGCAAGAATTTCTTTTGCCTCTTTCAAGCCTGCCTTGTTATCGCTGCCATCAAGGGCAAAAAAGGGACGAACAACTGTGTGGTACCACAACAGAGCTAATCTAAAAGAAACATAAGAGTTAAAAGGATTACAGCTCATAAACAGAAATTTAAGGATAGTGTTCTACACAGGCAAATTTTTTAAACGATTCTGAAAGACAAAGATAGATATGAATCTTTTGTTACACAACCTGGTTTTAAAACAAACACAGTACTATTGCCGTACATCAACATACTCCTAAACTGCACTTGAACATACAATTCAGTGCACATTACCCAAAGATAATGTAACAATCAAGCTCATAGCATCAAAGCAGTTGAGCTTTGGAACTCCATAGACTGTAAAAAAGGAAAATCCATGGGAAAACTTTGAAAAACAAATTGTTCATTGCTGGGGACAACACACCAAAAAAACCCTACAAACAAAACCAGCAATAAAACTAGACAGACATCAACAGAAACACCGAAAATCAATGTCAAAAAGAAATACATCTAGGGTTCAGAAGTACATGTCATGTACATCTACATGACCTACATCGTTGCTGGAAACAAGGGTAGAGTACCAAGATTTCCAAGACCATCTGAAGAAGGAAACACTCCCAACAATACCATTTTTCTTTCCCAGACAGGAGAAAGCATAAATCAACAGGAACATTTAATCTTAAGCTTTCTTAACCAATCAGAAATCCAATTCTTCTCCAAGCAGAAGAGACTTTAGCTCTGCTGTCAATGCTTCAAAAGTGACATCTGATCGCACCTGCAGTAGGTCCAGTAATAAAAGCATTTATTTGGAGATAATGGAATAATAAAGACATTTATGAGGGCAGTTTACATTATGTCTGGATAACCCTTCACCTGACAAAGGCCTGAATACAGTATGAACAAAAAATACTCCTCTAAAAAGACTACAAGGGAACATCCCATTTTACTCAGATGCTAAAATTAAAAATAAACTGGAATAGATCTTTGGCTAATAGCATGGATAAATAGCTAAGTGAGATCAATGAGTCATACAAAACAGCATGCTCTCCATAGTGGGAGAATATAACTTGGGTAAATTTACTCATCCTTCGGGGGTGTTTTTATTTACTGCTGGCATATAAATTACTAGACATTAGAATAGCAAGTACTGAAGAATACAGCAAAATACCGACACAAACCCCCAAAAAATGTAAATAACTAACATCAGAGAGATCTCATACACTAGTTAGTGATGAATTTACTAAACCATGGCATATTAAAAACCAAAAACTACAAGTTTATTTTACCTGCTGTTGTTTCCTTTAAAGCAACACAACTTTTTGGTTTTGACTTTTTCCCAGTTACTTACTTTTAGTACTAAGTTATCTACCAAAGCATTTCAATATAGCTACTCACGTAGCTAAAGGGGCCTTCATGTCCTTACTTTCACTTGCATACATCAGTGAGGAAAGCCCCTGTAGGCGGTCTCCAGGAAAACCCAGCAGGTTGATGATTTTGAGCAGGTTTGGGGGCACCATGGATATGCAAAGGTGAAAAAGTCCATATCCAAAGCTAACAGCACCTTTCAGTCTGTTTAGCGAATCCTCCGTTACACCTTCTGCAGCAATATGATTATCATTTGCAGCATCAGAAGTCAAGGATTCCTGAGTTGTTTTCTTCTGATATATTTCCTGAAGTGTATTAATGTCCGTATAGCACTTATTGTAAATTTTCCAAGCTTTTCGGAGTATCCACCCACCTTTTATATATGCTAAAAATCAAAGAAAAAAGTATTTCAGGGACATATTTGAGAATTGGAACATAGTAAGTAGTAAATGCTATTTCACAAACCCTAGAATGCTCTCTATATTTGCATTAACTTATTGCATAAAAGATTTTGTTATAGCTACTGCCCTCACAAAGAGGTCTTTCATAGTGGGCACTACAAACTTAGGTGCTTTTCAACTAGAGATGTTAAAACAGCATGCAATAAAAGGGACTTCCATTCAGCTATGTAGCAATTCAACTGTCAGAAAGAAAGAAAAGAAATCAAAGAACTTTATGCTGGATTCTGCTCCACTATAGAGTGGAGATGAAGTGGCTGCCTGGCAGAGAGAAGCAAAACTCAAAGAGATTATACCTCTTAAGCCCAAATGACATTAAAAGACAGTTGATAGGAAAATACTAAAAAACTCTTTCCTTTTGGTTAGATAATAAAATAAGATTTTCAACATCATTATTTCCCTGCGACTCATGAACACAGCACCTTATAATTATAAACAAAAAAATCATAGGAAAAAATAAAAGAATGCATAACATTTTATGGTTCTAAAACATTTTTCACTTGGCTAATTTCCTCAATTTCAAATGCAAGCTGGGTACCTAAATTTCCTAAAAATATGGTCTTGAGCATTCTCAGTTGAAAATGAGAGAATTCTCAGTCTCATTACCCCTCTTCACAGGAGGGTAAAGACATGACACCAAAAGATGAAAATGTCCAAGGCAAATGCTGTGTAAATAGGCAAACTGGTTATAGCACATCCTTGGATAATGGTAAGTGGTAAACAGAAAAACAAGCACAGAATATACTTGTACACGTGAATTGTAAAAGCAGACACCAGCATTTTGTGTGTGATAGAGCCCTGAAAGTTAGGAACTGCAATGAAAAAAGATTTAGCTAAAAATGACATAAAATAAAAGCATGGTTATAGCTAACAGATTAGCACCAAATTCACAGAGATCAGTGTTATAACTGATGCCAGAATTAGATCATAACAGATGGGGTGTGTCAAAGAAAAGGAAAATGCTATTAATACCAAACCACTCTTTATAAGCCTTTGACAGCTTTGACAAAATCCTTCCAATTACAAAAAAAAAATTTCTAGAGAAAGTACCATCACAGACTAGACTAACTCTTTTTGGATTCTTGTTGTATGAAGAGGGAATGAAGCTAGTTTCATAGTCTTAAAAAATCGCACTGAGAAAGACTGCAAGATTTGCATTCTCAGTTGCAACAGAAGGAGTCTGTCAACATGAACTTAAAGTATTAAAAAAAATTAATCCTCTATCTTGAGCTCCATATTAAAGCGTTATAATAAAAAATGTAAACCCCTGCCATGACTCAGCTGCATTACAAAACTAATGTTGCTTCAATTTTAAGCAAGTAGGTCACTTTTTTGCTGCACAGAGTATTTTTTCAAAGTTACGTGGTTCACCACAAGATGAATGCTCATACAGCTATGCATAGCAATGCAGCAGACAAGTAATAAGGAAACACACATATTTTACTTGTCCTACAGATAGCGTTTATGCAAATAGCTAACTACTGTGTTTTGATGCATGCATCAAATAGAAAGGATATGATGTGGGAAAAAAAGCATAGTTTTAGGCTTTACTTCCATCAGTGTGCTGTCATTAACAGTTCACTAGCACAGCATATCCCTAATAGATTTGGATATGCTAAGATAAAGTAAACTAAAACAATAAATTTTTTACTTTTTAAACATGAAAATTAAATCAAGCCCAATCACTGATCTCTCAGCATGAACTTCTGAAAGAAGTCGAACCCATGACAGCAGTGGTAAATATCAAGAAAAGGTAGTTCAATATTGCTGTGGGAAGCTAACATAAATTGTTATGTTACCAACTTTATGATGAAACTACTTCTAATACATCCATGAGGATGGAAAAGAAAATCTAAAATATGTTAGGCATATGAGAAAGCAGCTTGCATGTCATCATATGCTTCTTGTCAAACTCTTCCAAGATGACAAACACAAGAAATTTTTCACCCAGAAATATCTGCTTGCCTCTGAAGAATGCCTTTTTTTTTTAATTTACATTAATTTCAATAATCTGGTTGATACTTCTGTACAGAAACATGATCAAAACAAAAAATGTTTATACATAATCAGAAAGATAATATACTAAAAAAAAATGAAATAATGGATCCAACAGTTCAGCAACAGCAGTAACTAGCAGTCACTGAGGTGGCACTTAACTGCTTGGAATTTTAACTCAAGATTTCGGGTATATTTTTTATTCAGTAGAGTAACCCACATATACTGCATGTTCTCCAGTACTCTGCTACCCACTTCAGCTCTCTGAGCAGCAGACCAGAGAAAGGGAACAGACACCACCCTCAGTTCAGCATCCAACCCAGTTATGCAGCTGCAGAATACATACTGAAATAAGAAAAAAGCCTCGGGGGCGGGGGGGGATGACGACCAAACACTCAAACCCCAGAACTGCATCAAAAACAGAAAGAAAACCTTTCTGCAGCACTACAGACACAGCAGACTGAAACACTCCCTGAATTTCTGCAACCTAGAACCAAACACATTCTTGATGCCATAGCTTCGAAGAAACCAAGTCTGCACATCACAGAAAGCATTGTCTTTGATTGAAAATCTTAAATAATCTGAATGTTTTTTCCCCAATTCCTTTCAGCAGGGTTTTCACTCACAATCTGGTCTGACTGCACTCTCTTGGTCTTCATTGATTTGGTAAGAACCTGCGAACGTGTTCAGTCTGTGTATGACCTTGACCACATTTTCTATAGACTCATGGATGAAGGCATGTTTTAAGATTATGCAAGAGATCCGAGAAGGTAAGAGAACATTAGAAGCATCTTTGAAGTTGAGACGAGGAGGTTTGTATTCAACATGACAGGATTAACCTCTTTGGCATGCAAGGACGCACTTTGGTGACCAGAGAATAAGAACTGATTCAGCAGCTCCATCTTCACCACATTTCATTTAAAATTACTTTCACTAGCAGTTTGTCATCTCCTTGAGCTGCCATGAACATAATGCATATGGGACATTAGGATTTTCCTAGTGGCCTGGACTTACAGCCTCTTTTATCTTGCAGGCCACACGAAGCACGCAGATGCTACCCATCTTTGTACCAACTCCTCAAATGCCTCTATTGGAACATGCAAAAGATTCCAACCTAACTAATGAGAATCAGTTCAATATGACTGTTTGTATGAAAAAAGTGTAAAGATGTCATCTGTAGCAATCCAATATGTTTTATGATACTACTACATACACAAAAGCAGAACAATACCTCTGCAACGGTACCAATCTTGGAATGTTTCAAATGGAACTGTGCTCTTTCTTACAAAAGTTATCTTTACTAGTCATTTCTACTTTATGATGAAGCATTATTAAAAAGATAACATGCAAAAAATATATCTAAACATTAAAGCCACAGCACACCTGATAACTCTTGTTTTACAAATGAGAGCACAGCCAAGTAGACTTGACAGTCTGCTACAATTATTTGTCTTTGTAGACGATCTATCATGGACAGAGTGGATTTTCGTCCATCAACCTGTTTGGAATATACAAACACAGAGCACAGAAAAATGTTAACAAAGATACAGAACAGTGGTCTAAACATGACAAAATATCCAAAATTAACTGCAAGTGGTAGTATTGCTACTAAATGAACTCAGCATTTTGAAGAGCAAAACTATGGTAAAAGCTCTTTGACAGGTCATCAAGCAAACTCCTACTTAGTAAGCAGGGAAACCTTACATATATGCTATGAACTATTTTTCTTAAGGTTCTACAAATACTCAGAACAGATTGGAATTTCATTTAATTACTACTAAATACATCAGACATGCAACTAAAAGATGTTAGATGGAAGAGCACAGAAAGGTTTATATGACAAGTGGCAGGGAAAATACAGTGCCTCTTAAGGGCACAGAGTTAAGTATGTCAGGTTCAATGCTTTTTATCAAGTAAACTAAACATCGAAGAGAAATGGCTTCTTTTTCTAATGTAGATCTGCTGTGTTACACTAGGCAGGCCACTCTACATTTCTATACTACTATTTTAACTAGTTCTCAATCCGCATGCTTTACTCTTCCTTCGTTATTCTAGAATTAAAAAAAAAAAAAAAAATTCCCTAGGAATATACACTATGCAGCCTCAATCTCACAACTTTTGAACATTACTAGAGTATGTACAAATTAAAGTTAGCCTGAATTAGACAGGCTACAAGCTTCCTGAAATAATTTTAGTACATCACTGATTTGAGGTGTTAAGAAAACAACTACTAACATCAACCCAACCTGCTGCTTTAGAAGAGGCATTACTTGACCCTGTATTTTATGATACTTAGGAAATCGAAGCAAAATATTTGACTTAACTTCTAAATTTATTATTACTCTCAACTGCACTTCACATATCAAAAATAATCTTTTCAAAATGCAAAGAGGAGAGGAAGGAATTTTCCAGAAATATTTGTCCACTACACAATTTCATATTTTACAAATAACGTTCTTACATTCTTTTTAATCTTATTCTTGATTGTTTCTATAACTCCAGCTTCTTCACTTTCACAAAGTTTCTCTGTAGCCTTTAAGTCATCACATGCCAGCTGCATTTTCTCTTCTTCAAACGTCATCATGGCATTCTACCAAAAAAATCCCCAGATTTGAATGATTAAAAAAACCACAAATATTTTTATTTTTACAAAAGCTACAGGAAGGTTTATGAAAACTTGACAATAAAACTTACTTTTTTTTCTTAAAACATATTAACACACAGATCAGTACACATCTACACAGAAACAGCAAACTAGAGATTTGAGAATGCTTTACCAAAATTTCAAGACAAATCAGAACATATGAAGTCTTATCCCCTTGTCTTAACAAAGCTTCACAGGCAAACTGAATGACCTGTCACATTAGATTATCAGAAGGAAAATCTATATAAATTAATTTTCAATTATTATGTAAGGCACGATTTGCATCCGTGCAGATACTGCTTTTTATATAATTCATCCATATAAATAACAGGCCTCCAAAGTCAGTAACAAATAACAGCTATTGCATTTTTCAAAATAACCACAATTGCTACATATGTAGGAAGGTAAAAAAAAAAACACGCATCCAACTCCAACTACTGCTGAAATAATTTAGAAAGAATTTCAGGACAAGACTCTTCTTTTCTTGATGCTTTATTAAACAAAAGCTCTGAATGACACAGGCACACACAGTACTGCTGCTATGTTTAGAACAGTAGCTAAGCAAGATATTTTCAAGATCCACTGATGCTGTACTGTGATGTTACTTATCTGACTTGATGCACTGAGCCAGTGTAAGACTGAGAGATTCTCTCCTCTCCATTGACTTAAAAGCAATATGCCCCAGGAGGTTTCCTAACCAATGTATTTTTACATATTTCACAGTTTACAGACACTAGAGAGAATTCAAATTATTTCCATTTGCAGCTTATTTCAGGCATAACATAATAAATTTTGTCTTTCAAAAGACTATTACCATAGATAATTTCTAGTGCAATCTAACACCAAGCAGCAAAGTCAGAATAAGGACAGCCTAAAAAACAAAACTCAAACATTTTCTCAGTTTTTATATCAGATAGTCTCATTTTTAATACATTAAAAAGAAGAAAAGCATTTAACAGGCCTAACTTGTTCATTATGACTCTTTAGTCAGTTAATATTCTCAGTTCTCATATATTCAAACAGGAAGCAACACAAACGGATGGAATTAACAACTTTCACCTGACAATATGGATGGAGAAATTTTCAATAGCAAAAGCTACCAGGAAAATCGCATTTATGAGAGTTAGTTTAATAATACCTCTACTGCTCATTCAAGAGAGTGTTTTATTATGGCTCTTTTAATGGAACACATAAATATTACATACATTTGAGCAACTGAATCACAGAACCTTTACCTTCTATTTAAACCACATAAGTAAACAAGTTTTATACAACATAATGACTTATTTTCTAGCTACATTTAATCTAAAACTTCGAAAAAATTAAGTCTCATAAAAAGAAACAAATTAGAGTATCCACCATCATGAACACATGCACGCACCTACAAATATTAACCACAAGAGAAGAGTCATATACTCTCTACTCACCAAAAAACTGACGAAACTGGCTCCAAAACTCATTAATGGGCTATGGTTTCTGTAAAGAAAACAAAATGTAATTACTATATTTACACATATTTCCTATTGTAAAGATCAATATTGCATTTCTTGATTTATATATCTGTAAATAAATATTGGGGTTTTTGTATTAAGTTATAAATGTATCATTCTGCAAGACATAATGGAAATGGAAAGCCAAAAGCTTCATTTTTACAGACTCAAATATAACTTAAAAAAAATTTTTTTCAAGCATTAAGCTGTAGATGTTTTTAAAGAGAAACTACTGTCATCAAAATACATTCAGTGCAGGTCAAAAAAATTTGAGATACTAAAATTAAAGCTAATTCTAGTCTTCTCTCTGATCCATCACTACAATTTTGACCTAGCAGACAAATGTTAACTGGGTCTACCTGTTAAGAGATTCCCACTTCTCCCTGTTCCTATGAATTTAAGTTAATCTACCCAGATTAAAAAAAAAGCATATGCCACATAACTAAGCTGCTGCAAATACAAAGTTCTTACAAGGCTTATGATTTTATAGCTGCTTTGTTTCAAGCCTGAAATACGTATCTTGCTACACTATGTGGAATAGTTTTAAGGTGTTTCACCTATTCTGTTTGCAGGGATGCTCCAAAAGGGTGAAATCAACTGCTAGATCAAAAAACATAGGCAGCCAAAATCTCGGCAATATATGGGACAGGCTTTAGGATTACTGTAGTCACATAGACCATGAGGCTCCAGTAACATCACATAGAAGGCATTTAAAAAAAATAATTTCAGGAACTCAGCAGTACCACTGATCCACAGTTCAGCAGTGGGCTGCCAGGTTATACATCCATGTATAAATATCACTACTGGAGTAAGGATAAAATTCATATAGCACTCCAGAATAAAAAAGTTATATACACTGACTTCCAGGATTGAAAAAGAGGTAACATTTATGCTACAGGCACATATATCGCTACAGTAGAGTACTAATGCTGTTTCCAACTTAATTCAGCAAGCATCAGATTAAAGTAGAGTTTTAAAATACGACAAGTACTTGAAAAACATGGAGAAAATAGTTTATTGTTTATTACAACACAAATTTCCAATAGTAAAGCCACATTATAATACAAGAGAGTTTAAGGTAGTCATCAGTATCTCCCCACTCCCTCACTTTTTGATTTAGCATAAATGTCTAAAAGGACATGAACAAGAAGAAAAAGTAAAGAAAAACAGGGAAGATAAACAAAGCAAGTCAGAACTGAAAAACCTTCCCTTTTTATATACATTGCTCAATTCTGGATATAAATATAAGATAAGCATAACTTGCCACACTTTTTCATTATTTTCTCAAAAGAAAAATAAGTATTTTCCCCTTTGCTGGCAGGCCAACAAGAACAGCTGCCAGCAAATGCCTCTGCTATTCAGTACCTGGGCTGTTCTCTACCAGCAGCTGTGTAACACAGAGCAGCAGAAATCAGCTACACAAGTTATACCTGCTGCTGCTGGCACTTTCCGCATGAACTCTCGCTGCAGAGGGCACGTGGCTCTCTCACAACCCACTTTTTACCCCATGGGGCATGTGGGACCCATTCAGCAGCCAGTCTTATCACCATACTCCACAGCACATAACCTCCACGCTAAGTTTCAAGGTCACACCTACTGCATTATCGACACCCAAGGGATCTAAAACTGCAGAACAGATCAGCACAAGAAATTTTTACATTTATGTGCTTACGTACGAAGTTGCACTTACATCATACTTTCAAGGAAGCTCAAAAATAAATCAAATGCTGCATTTTTGAGCATCCTTATATCTACATTCTCAGAGGGAAAGAAGTTCTGGGAAGGCAAGCTGGTAGGCATCTCTAGATAATCAGTCTTTCATACTGAAGTCCATTCAGAACAGAAAATTATCAGACAAAGACTGTTTATCAGAGTGAATTTAAAGAAGTCAACCACAACAGTCTTTGAATATAAACAGGAAAATAAAAATGCATGACATAAGAAACAGTTAATTACGTTTGCACTTTTCAATAACACAATTCTTGGAAATGAAGTTTCCATCCACACTGAAAACTTTACTTCGCTACCAGGAATGGAGCCAAAGAAATTATTTAAGATTTGAGCATCAGAACACCTGTAAAAGGTTTACTTGTAAAGTTTAAGTATTATATTCTTACTGGAACTTTGCACAACAGAATCAAGGTTTTTCAGGTGGGGTTTCTTTCCCCTCTGAAATGCGCATAAGCAAATCAAATAAGCTTAGCAACATATGCACTTGGCGCTCAGAAAAAAGTAGCATCCAGGTATTCCTTAGGACTTGGCAAGAAAGATACGAGTTCTATCAGCAAAACATAAATACAAATTAAATATTGTGGAATTATAGAACAAATAGTTAAAAAAGGTGTTGCACATGAAAACATTTTAAACATTTTTTAAATGTTTTACTTTTCATTTTCTATGAATTTATATAAAAGATCCTCCTGTTGTAGAAACAGTTACTGAAGCGTAAAAAAATACACATACAGCAGTTTTAGGGGTAAATTGATTCCTTGTCTATGAGAATGGTATTTTCAAACACAGCAACTTGAATGTTGGCCATGTTTGGGAGTGAAATCATTAGAACTCTATAAACAGGAACATAGTTGAGAATCAAACAGCATATATATGCTGTTTCAGCAGCTCAATATACACACTATTTCAGGCATATTATTCAAACATTTTTTTAAATTTGGCTTTCTCTTCAGGACTTTGAGAACCTGTTCTTAAGAGTGCACATCTATTTGTGTGAAGGTATCAGTATTTAGATATACATTTTAAAAGCCTTTTCATCTCTTTTTTGATAAATTTTAATACTATGTTACAAAATGAAGCAGCTATTTACAGTTGAGAGCCAACTTGCTCTTCCAAGCTTACAAAAGATACCAAATTGCTTACCCCAAGCAATGAAAAGTTGTCTAAGCCTTTTAACATATGTTTGTCCAAGTAGAACTGAGTATTTTCCCCCATATAAATATTCATCTTTCAAAACTGCTTCCCCACTTGCACTTTGACACTCACAGCTCACTGTTTACAATTCTTCCACCACTATCAAAGATGAGATAAAACAATTTAAAAAAACTCTAGAGACACATCACCCTATTCTGAAATTATCACTAGCTGTAATACATGAAGTAAAATGTTGCAGATTAACCCTTTTTAATTTTCAGTCAATCTATAAAAAGCTTTGTCATTACAGCACATATGGGCTCTAGGCACATAAGGACCCTGAAGCAAGAAAACATGATGCATAATATTATGCTATGTCTGGGAGATGCTTCTGTTGAGACCATGGAGTTTAGCAATCGAAACATGAAAACTCGACTGCAGGAGCTCCTCACCCAGTTTGTCTCATCGCTAAATAAAATAAGGAACACTTCTACCACATTCCTGCATAGTCACTGGGTAGAAACTATAGGTGCAGCTTTATGGAAGATCATTTGTTAAGGTAACTTCAGTGTTTAAAATCCATTTTAAACAACTGCATTTAGTGCTCAGTCTTTGTGAACACTATATTGACTGACATTCTTCAACAGTTTAGGGTTATCTTTTCCTCGAGAGCTAGGACAAAAGTTTGCAATGGCACAGTACTGTCCCAGTAAACACTAAGGCACGACCACTGATGACAGCAAGTTTCTGAGAAAAGCACAATTCCATGAAAACAACCCTCAGCTCAAACTCCTTAAGTGACCTTCAGCATCAGACATTATTTTACACCTTTTGACAGATTCCAAAAAGTTAAGATACAAGAAAAAAAAGAGGCTGCACTTGAGAAAATACTAACAGCAAACCAATGGCCATATTGGTGTTGACAGGAGTTATGGAAGTGAATAGAAATGAACACTGGGACATTGCACTACCTAGGTTGTCCTCGCTACTTTGAATCTATTACCTCCATTAAGTAAAGAAAAATCTCAAGACTTAATTAGCTCAAAGATGAAGAAAAATTCAGTCTCCAGACATATTTTGTAAAATACTGTTTGCACCTCACCTATCAAACTAGGACTCTGAAGATAGAAAGTGTGCTATTAACACCATTTCTACAAGATCCCCCAGTAAAAGGTTGTACACATCAAGTTTAGTTATGTGTACCAACTTTATTAAGTCATAAGCTTAAGAACACTGAAGTAGATCTTTCTTCCAGGTATATGAACTGGTGTTACACGAGACATTGCTTCTCCCAATAAACCCTGACCAATGTGCCTCATTTCATGGCATATCTTTAAGATGTTAATTCACTTTTGGAAGAAAGATGTTTGCCATGCCCCATTTTCACACATGACAATAACATTCAGGAGCTTTAAGCCTTGATTTAATAAGGCTGAGATAATACAACCCAATTTTACCATTTAAAAAAATGAGAAACACACCAAAAGAAAAATCTATTGCTTGTCAGTATTTTATTTTCTCTACATCCATTTCCACGAGAATATTTCACTTCCAAGTGCATCATCTTCTAAAGCTACTACAGCCTAACTCAGGTTTAAATTTAAGTAACATAGTTAACCCACCAACATTTCCTCCCTGCTCTTCTAGGCACTGCTGCTTTAACCACAGTCCACTAAGAATTCCAATCGTGATACTGATTGATAGTGATGCTCAAGTTGAAACAAAAAAAAATGTTTTCCTCCAAATTGGGAGAGTAAAGCATAACGAAAAATTAAGAATTCGTATAAGTTCACAGATAAATATAGAAGCAGCTGCTGAATATTTTAAAGCAAGCAGAAATACGTACAACCTATATATAAAGGTAAGGATTTTACTGCAAAAAGCATACAAATCTTTTGGTCATTTTTCCCACCACAGATTATTCTAGAAGATATTCTAAAAATTAATTGTGAGACTACAAACATAAGACAGATCTTTAGAAAGTACACATCTCATCCAATATTGGTATATGAAATAGCTAAGGCAAGATAAGAGTCATGAAAGCATTACAGTATTAAGACATTGAGAACTGCAAATGTCATATCTAGGTTTAATTTATATTTCATAATCTGCTTGCATTT